GGTGAGATGAGATCCTATTTCTCATTTTCGTTTCAACAGAGCTGGGTGCCGAAATTGTGGGTACACCATCGAAGAAATTCTGGACGCTCGATTGGCCGTGGCCATATTCAGTCCTGTGCAACCTAACCTGACACTTTGCTCTGTTTTACACTTTATTCCTCCGAGTTTTTCGCTCGTAGTTATTTACGGTGCTCTGTCAAAGAGCACTTAACAGCGCGGACCAAAGCTCTGTGCAGAGCCATTTGGTTTGGTTAATTTGGATTTATGTAACGCTTTTACGTGTCGTACTCACCTTTCGTTTTCCATATCACTGTCTTGCATTTTTTGATTACCTGTACCAAAAATGACGCGCGTTTCCTATCCATGTTTGAAGGGTAGTTCCAGTAAGAAAGTGGTCAAGGGAATTGAATGCAAAACCTGCAAAAGGTGGGCATATTCTGGTTGTTCAGGTGTTAGCAATGACCACTATGCATTCTTCTGCGCAAATAGCTGGGTAGAGTGGATCTGTGGGCAGTGTATGGACGCGGCAAGGTCTGCATTCGCGACGGGGAAATCGGAGGCCAGAGGCGAACCGATCAGCGCTCGTCTCGAGAGCCCAAAAACGTAGGAACCACCCCGAGCAACCTTGAGCACTTACGCTCAGGTCGCTTCAAGTCAAGAAAAGAGTAAACCGAAGCTAGAGAGTTCTTAGCAAACAGTTTTGCCGAAGGTTTGGAAGGCAGCAGTGGTATCCGCACCGTTACGAGAGCCGTTACCTGTGGTCAACCCCAAGGCACGTCAGGGTGTAAACCGGCCCAAGCCAAACTGCGGGTCCAAACCTGGAGCGGGTAGAAATATAGTCTAACATGGGAAGAAGGGCTCCAGCAGCTGCAGAAGCAAGTAAGTACCCTCCCTGCAGGAAGTATCCCCAAAGATAAACTTCGTAGAAACATCATTCTACTTAATAATGAGGAGTTGAATATAAGAGAATCAAAGGCCCGTACGGAAATGGAAAAGCGTAGAGTCCATGAAATACTCAGGTTAGCTGGGGCTCCGCGAAACTTGACATTTAGGAGAGTACACCGGGTCGAGAGGTGGAAAACACCAGTCCTGGAAGCAAAACAAGCACCAGCTACAGCCATGCTGGTGGAGTTTGCCAGACCGCTTAGTAGGTATATGTTACTATTCCGGGCAGACTTGTTTTCGAGTGCCACCAAAGGGCGTTATAAAATAGTCGCTGATGAACCCCGAGTCAGGGAAATAAATAGAAGACTGTCAACTTACATGACGGGAGGAGAACATTTTGAAGCTGAGCTAATGAAGCTGCCCAGGGCGCTACGGGTCTTAGCAAACCCGAATGTGGCTGTTATTGAGGGCATCTTGGAGCATCTCACGTTAGTAAACGAGACCCAGATGGAATCAAATAATGCCGCAACAGGCCAGCGAATATTTTTACCGGGACCAGCATACATTGCAAAGCTCCCCGAGATGGAGGAGATGGTGGCCGCAGTAGCAGCTGGCACCGTAGATCAGCCAAAAAACGGGCTGCCTACCCGGGTGTTACGCCCGAAGAAAACATCCGAGTGAACAAACACCACTCGTTAGGGGGTAGGAAAGCATTGATACTACTGCACGCCAATGCATGTAGTATTAGGATTAAGTGGATAGAGCTGGCCACAGTAGCTGCGGGGACAAAGGCTGAGGTGATTGTCCTGTCTGAAATGTGGCTAACGCAGGAAGACCACAGACCCGAACCACTTATAAGCCAGTTCACAGTTCACAGACAGGACAGGAAAGGGAGTACACTGAGGGATGGTGTGGCAGTCCTAGTCAGACAGGATATACCCCATCACGAAGATAAAATAGCGCAGTGCACCCGAAATGTTCAGTTGTGCTCAATTTCGTTGGTTCTGCCTTCGAAGAGGGTTAGCATATCAGGCGTCTACAGAATCCCGGAATGCACACTCGAGGAGGACCAGGCACTCCTATGAACCCTAGATAGCTTATATAGACACTCACAGGGCGTCTGTATATTGGGAGATTTCAATTTCCCAAAAACCGATTAGGAGGTTGAGCGGACACCAACAGGAACACCGGAGAGCGCATTCTTAGAATGGATGCACTCGAGGGCCCTACAGCAACATGTCCGTGAGTGCACTAGGTACAGAGATGGAGATAGGCCATCTCTACTGGACCTACTAATTACAACGAGGGAGAGGGATGTGACAAACATCACCCTCGATCCACCGCTGGGTAAAAGCGACCACGTCGTTCTCACCACAGCAATAAGTCTCAAGCATCGGAGGAGTAATGTTAGGATGTCCAGGAACTACTGGACGATAGACGCGACAAAGCTGAAGGCCCGAGCTGCCGAGCTGGTGTGGGCCCCTATCCACGAAAACGACTCTGTAGACCAGCATTAGGGCCGGATCAAGGCAAATATCTTGCTTCTGCAGGATGAATTTGCTCCCTTAAAACCCAGGGCAACGAAGAACAAAACACCTTGGTGGAGCCCAGCGATTAGAAGAGCGATACAGCGTAGAAATAGGAGCTGGCACATTTATAGGTCAACGGGAAGCCACCGATCCTGGACGCAGTACACCAGGGATAGAAAAAAAGCAGTGGTAATTCAGTGCGAGCACAAACAGCAATATGAGCTCAAGTTGACCAATTGTGCCAAATACCAGCCAAAGAGGTACTACCGTTATGTACAATCTAAGAGAAGGCTCAGTGAAAAGGTAGGGCCCCTGATATTGGACGATGGAGAAGTACTAAGCAAAAAGAGGGATATCCCAGTGTGATTTAAGGAATACTTCAGAAGAGTACACAGGATAGTTCAACTCGTCACTTCTCAACCTGACCTCCGCACCGATGGACCGGATATCCCCGAATTACACGTGGGGCTCGAGCAGGTGCGCAGGACTCATGGTGAGCTTAACGCCACCGAATCCACAGGATCAGATGGCATCCACCCAGCCTTAGTTAAACACATAGCTGAGGTTCTAGGGGGCCCACTATGCCACCTGTTCAACAAAACTTTAGAACAGAGCAGGATACCACAGGACTGGAAGACAGCAACTGTGGTCTCCATACACAAGGGAGAGCCGAGACACAAGGTAGAAGACTACCGTCCAGTTAACCTCACAAGCATCTTGTGCAGAGCGTTTGAGAGAATTATCAGAACCCACTCATGCGAATATCTCACTCAGCACCAATTGTTGATTGCGGCACAGCATGGGTTTCTGAAGGGAAAATCCTGTCTGAGAAATCTCTTGCACTTTATATGAAGTCACAGCGATATTAGACGAGGGTCAGCAAGTGGAAGTATGTTATCTGGACTTTAGCAAAGCATTTGACTCAGTATGTCATCGCTTACTTTTGGCCAAGCTAGATGCTCTAGGGATAAGGGGTAAAATCCACAAGTGGCTAACAGCTTTCCTGGCCGATAGGACCTTCGTGGTTCGGGCCGAGGAAGCGAACTCGCCAATGGAAAACATTGCTAGTGGTGTTCCTCAGGGATCAGTTCTAGGTTCACTCCTATTCTTACTCTACATCAATGATCTGCCTGAACGCATAGGCTCGCCTAGCTATATATTCGCGGATGACGTCAAGACGGTAGGATCATGCGGTCTTTTGGACAGAACTAGGTCTAACATGCTAGTCCTTTGCTCCTCTCACCATCAAGTGGGTTGATTGACGTGCTGCACCGGGGGGTAACACTCTCATCAAGTCTACTAGTTTTCTACCGAAACCAGAGCCAGGGGCCCACAGGCTTTCCGGGTCTAACTCCGGAGAGTTTAAGTCCCCCATGATGACCAACCGCTCCGCATGATTGCTTACCCTGGTCAGGTTGTCGCACAATTGGCCATCCTCCTCCGCATCTGAAAGTGGTGCTCTGTAAGCACCTACTACCGTCAATATGCAGTTCGGGGATTGTATGGTGCATGAGCGCGCCTGTATATTCGACGTGGACATGTGATCTCCCTCGGCCTGATCTAGGGTGTCCGAAACAAGGGGCAATATGCCACCTCCACCCCTACCATCTTCCCTGCCCGACCTGTACACGCAGTACCCGGGGAGTTGCAGGCTTTCCATTGTGATGGCCTCGTGTAACCAACGTCTCGGTTATCACAATATAGTCTGATCCTACGGTTATAGCCTTCAATTCTCTCCAATTGTTGCCTAGGCTACAGGATTTCGTGTAGAATGCCGATAACCCCCCCCAATCCAAGCCCTCTTCTAGCCTTGGTATCACTAGAGTCCATTGTGCACTCGGGCAAACTGCTCAAGAGCCCTCTTCGTTCTTGCCGCCGGCATAATCTTGGTCCTCAGTCGCTGAGGCACCGCAGAGGGAATGACGTCAACACTGGCCCTTCGAGCCACCNTAGCCCACAATTCCTTACCAGTCTCCGACTGAGTAGGCACAACATCGTCCGGCCTGTCCTTACGATTAGCTGTGACTATTGTCATCCTTCCCACTAGCGTGGGCCTTCATCGTCACGTCTGTGTCCTGTGGGGGATAGTGTTCGTTTAGTTGAGCCGGACCTGGAAGTTGATGTGGTACGTTAAGCAGCGCTTGCCGGTGACTGATGCTGCAATCTACTGAGCTCTATCCGCGGTGAATTACCCCAGGAATCGCAGTATGTCATGTTAATTGGGGATGCCTTTCGGCGAAAGCCTGCATACATAGATGCGTTATCCGGTTCGACGCCTACCTTCCCATTCTTCAACTATTTAGTATACCCGCCGCCGCCAGGAATGCATTCCGGAATCTCTGGTTGCGATATTTTACGAGAACTGGCTTTGGGAAACGCGCTATGCTTACCTGTGCGTTAGACTATTCCCGAAGATTGAAAATCCTTTTGATTAGTGCGTGTGCCGGGATTTCTACCTGTTTAAGTAGGGAGGAGACATAGTGTCGCAGATCCATTGCTCTCAGTCTGACACTGCTGCAGAGCGGCTCTTCCATTTCTTTGATGACAACATTTCGCAGCCTGCCTATTGTGAGGCTCGTTTCGTGGCCCAGATTTTATCCGGGAAGCCATGCTGGTCACCTCCTTCCTGATCTCGGACAAACTGGCTGTCCTGGCATTATTGTCTGATTGGAGTCGCCGGAGTTCTGCCCTCATGTTTGCCTCAGGCGCTTCCAGACTTGCCCTAACTGCCTCTAATTGGGGGATTTTTGTCGGTTGGCATTTCTTTAGCTCTATGGCTGTCTCCTTATCAGCTATGTTGTCGTCATCAGTTTGCTGTTGCACTGAAGTGCGGTTATATTTAATTAGTTGTGAACAGTCACAAAAAACCATTTAAGCTCCGCGTTATCTAAATACAGTCGGTAAGCATGGGGGTAAGCTTACTGCAAGCACGATGAAACCACCAGTCGCAGTTGTCGCAGGAGATACCATTTTTACGTCTTTGAACACTTCCCACACCTCCCGCTGGGACTCGAGGGTGATCCTATAGAGCTATGTCTAGCCATTCTCACCACTTTGTGGGAGTGCGGTGGAAAAAGGTTGGATGAGGTAGAGTGAGAAGTGACTTAATGAGTAATAACCTCTAGTGAATAGAATAGAAAAACCCGTTGGGTAGCTGGTCAGCAGGACGAAAACAGAAAGTGTGGAAACGGCTTACCTTTAATAGATAGGGGAGCTCTTGTGGCTCACAAAAGAGGTCTGGTGACAACGCTGTTCCATCGCGCCAGGAATATATGTTCCTCTGACACTGTCCAAGAGAAGGAGGCCTTTCTGCGAAAGACGCTACTAGATAACGGCTATCCACAGAAATTTATTGATGTGCACAGCAGACTAAAGAGACCGGTTGATCTCGTCTGCAAAGTACCAAAGAAGAGCGTATTTCTCAGACTCGCCTTCAAAGGTGATCATATAATGAACGACGTGCGTCAAAAGCTTAAGGCCGCACTGTGCCGAACGTTTCCTGCCGCACAGCTTCGATTGATACCGTGTACCCAAGGATTTCGTTTAGACAATCGAAAATAGAACCAGCCGAACAATTCTGCTTCACATATCGTCTACCAGTTCAACTGCAGTTGCGGTGACATCGGCAGAACGTATCGGCCTCTGGCACAGTGAATGTCTGAACACATTCCCAAATGATTGGTACAATCGATGACGCAACAAAGTCTCAGAGGTCAAACCGATGAGATAAATCCAGGGTCATCCATCGCAAAACATCTCATGGCAACTGGACACATCGTTGACCCACAAATGTCGTTAGAGATGTCATTACGTGACTTGAATCCCAGGATTTTGGCGTTTAGCGAAGCGATGCTAATCAAGTTACGTAAATCAGTCCTGTGTACACAAAAGTTCCTTACACGATCAGTCAGAATGCCATGGACTTGAGTTACCACCCCACCCTTTCCCTCGCTTCCCTGACTTTTGTCCGTTTTACCACTGTAGTTATCAAAACTTGCTAGTATAAATACCAGATTGTTTTACAATGTAGCGACTGAAGAGATTAAAAGAAATGTTAATATCTCACAGTATTTGTCTTCTCTCTGTTCTAACGAATTGAATAAACGGGAACCAATGTTTCAAATTGTATACAATACTCAAAATGCGGTCGAA